GATGTTGAGAGTGTGAGGTTGTCACTGAAAGTGGAACTGCTCTGGGAGCAACGTGGAAGGGTCCTAGGAAAGACGCTGGAACTGGTCATGGATGGGAGTGGGTGGGGGAGATGGGGGTTGAGTGTCTCTGTGTTGTGACAGAATATTGGCCCATGTGGCCTTCTAGTACATGGTGACCCTCTTTGCCCCTGGTGACTGAGGCCTTTCCCAGGTGGCTCCCGAGTACCCTCTGGTACATAATGCCCCTGCAGCCGCTACCATGTTCCCCCAGGAATTGGTGTCTGGGCTCCCCTGACTGACCAGCAGTTCCCTGCACAGTCACACCCCCAGGATCACCTGCTCTCAGGCTACTCCCCTGCATGCAGTTCACAGGGTTCCTGGGTCTCTGCAGACGGTGAATCAGCCCCTCCCAGAGAGTCAGGGGGTGATTGTCCTGCCACAGTCCTGCCTTTTCCCCGGGTCTGGTGACCAGGTCATCCAGGAGCTGCTGACCAGAGTCTGCACAGAAGAGACTCCGCCTCTGTCTCAGTCTATGTTTCTGTCCCTCTCTCTCCTTTCTCTCTCTGTATCTGTCTCTGTCTCTCTCTGTGTCTCTCTGTCTCTGTCTCTCTCTCTTACTCCAGGTTAAGTCTTCAGTGATTATATCTTGTTAATTGATATCGGAGTCTTTCACATTACATCCCACCCAATGACCAATTTGCTGTGCTACTCCTGGTTGATCGAGTTGTAGTGTTTTTGATAAGTCGCTCCAGGAAATCCAGGGTTTTTAACGGGGTAACATAGCTGAAGTTAAATCTTTAACTGGTGCCGGCTTCGGGGCATGTGTGTGACTGCCTGGGCTTCCAGAAGTACAGAAAGATGGCGGGAATATAAAGGAAATATAAATCAGAGGGACAATGAGAGATATCACGGTGAAAGACCTATATCAGAAAATGACTCAAAAGAAAGAAAGAGTTGGGATGTTGTCAAATGCAAATCTGTTTCCTCATTAGCTTTGAATGTTGTATGATTTAATATCTATGAAAAACAGTAGGAGATTTCTCTAAAAAGTGAAAATAGAGTTTCCATATAAGAAACTGATTCAAGCTAGATACCTTCACCCAAAGGTGAAAATATCAAATTAAGAAGTTATAAGAAAACATACAATGAAGCATTTAATATACTGGCTAGGACATGGAAATGATCCTAATGCTTAATGACATGTTCATGGGTAACAAGTTGTGCGGTATATACAAAAAGGGATACTATGCAGTAGTTAAAAAAAAGACAAAATATCAGCATTTTCTGCACCATCGATGGAACTAGAGAATATCAGATTAAGTGGTTTGTCAGAGGGTGAAAGACAAATTCAGAAAATCCCATTCATCTGCAGTACACAGAGAGCAGAACGTCAGGATGGACAGGATGCAATAATATAACGGCCCCTCCGTCCTTCATGCCCGACCGAGGTCACCAGCTGCCCCCCACGAGCGGCTCTCCAGCATGGCCACGGCCCCGGAAGCACAAGGACTTAGCACAGAAAGCCACCCGCTTGGAGCAGAAAAGCAAATGGACTATGTGTTAAACCACGCCAGCATGCCTGCCCGGAGGGGAAAGGGTGTTGCCCCATTCGCCCAATCCTCTCTGGAAAGAAAGATGGCAGCCGCATGGGAGCCTTGTGGACAGCAGGTTTGAGCTGGGGGTGGGGGGCGGCAGGGGCCTCATGGGAAGGGCGGCGTTCTGGGCCGTCCTTCATGCCCGACCGAGGTCACCAGCTGACCCCCACGACTCCAGAGCACAGAAACCAATCTCTTAACTTTCTAACTTTTAATAGAAATACTTCCAGGGTTAATAAGTAAAATAGCAGAAATCCAAAACCGCGTGGCCGCAATTGCGACATCATTTTATTCTTAAACCCAGCTGTAGAAAGCAAATCATTTCACAACGCTGTTTCAGCATATCTGATTGGGGGGGTCGTAAACTCTAAACAATAATTGTGCATCTTCTATCGAAACAATGTATCTAGTCAAAGTAGATAGAGTATTAACTAGAACTCATCTGCCTCACAGGAATTGGGAGGGGTGGGAGGTGGGGTTCTATTGGTGTTCGCGGTTAAAAATAAGTATTGGTAAAGGGAAATGTGTTTGATATTTACATGACTGAGACCTAAACCCAAAAGCTCTGTAACTTTTCCCACAGTGATTCAATAAAGAAATAAATTATTAAAAAAAATAATATAACGGCCCCTTCCGTCTAACCACACTCTGTGGGTCCCGAGAGGAGTTGGGTGGGGGCTTAGATCACTTGGAAGAAGAGGCCGAGCACAGGGGCCACAGCAGAGTGTGGGGGTCTGTGGGGATTTGGTGCTGCGAGAAGTGCAGGGAGTTTGTGACCCACAAGCATCAACACTCAGACTATAGTCATCGTGTTTCCTCAGTAACATGCTATTCCTCCTTACATACCTCACCATCCCCTCATGCTCTCTGCAGTGACTCCTGTTTGTGTAAGTGTATGCAGGGTGTGATGACGGAGACTTACTCTCAGTAGCCTGCAAGTCTTGGGATATATTATGGGTTTTTACTCATTACTAAAGGCGTCTTGGATTACTCTCAGTCCTAAAGTATTAGAATAGGTCACACGAGCTTTCTAGGAGCCTCCAAGGGGTCTCGGTGAGGACAGCCAGGCGCGGGGACAGGAGACTCTGTGCTGTTCTCTTTGGGTTTTATAGTCTCTGGGTCCTGGCCGTTGATGGGATTACTTGGTGCCGGGGGCAGTTGTTGTGTGTAATGCCTACCTATTGGAAGATTGTGGATCTGGGTGGAGGAGGCTCAGTCCTGATCCGGGCAGGCTTGGAGATCTCAGCCCAAGAACCCGCGTGCCTGGGTTCCTCTGCTGGTTCCTTCATGCATGAGGCTTGTCTGAATGTGTGGAGAGTGGTCTCAGCATGTCTGTGGCTGGTTCCTGAGGTATTGGCTGCTGGGGCTCTGCTTTGGGCGGGGAGGAAAACTCTGACCGCATGGAAGAGTCTGGCAAACTCCCCGTGGCATACTCAATATGCCAAAACCAGTAACAATGATGGGTCTCATTCTCCTGACCCTGAAAGAGCCTTGAATATGGCACTTTCTAAAATCTCAGGGCTAGCATGAAGGAGACGTTACTGCTTGAGGAAATTGATGAACAACAAGGTTACGTGATACTGTAATATTGTGTTCCTAGAACTAGCAGATGCCATTCAGCTACACTACCACGTGACAGGGACGAATGGAGATGTTAATGTTGCTTGCTCGAGCAAATCGATGAGAACGGAATGTCAAGTGATCAAGTGATCAAGTAACCATGAATATCATGAGATGTTGGAATTACAAAATTGTAAATGGTTGGTGTCCAGAGACATCCCTGCAGGGAGCCCATCCATTTTGAGATTCATCTGGGAGTCTCTGGGTCAAGGCTGCTGATGTGCTGAGATTGCTCCCAGAGGCAGATAATGGGTGGGAGAGCCAGGACCTAAAGCGGGCAGGGAGATGGGGAAGGACCCCCTCAGAATATTAATAAGACAAACTAAGAACCATCCTCTATGACAGGATATGTAATATGTATGAACCCAGGCTGTCTATGCTGGACCTACGAGAAGAGAGAGGCCGTGGGACAGCCCCACCAGGAGGATTCCCAGAGGTGAAGGACTCTGAGACATTTGTATCTGGATAGTTAACCTGACATCACACTCTCGTGCAGTGCCATGGAGGGATCACACTTTACACACAGGGACTTTACCTGACTGGGACTCACTGAGACCCCAGATGAAGGAACTGAGGCAACAGCTGAGATTCCTTAGTTGTAATGAAGATCAAGGATGGCGCAGTTCAGGCGATGTGATGGAAATAACAGAAAGGGGCAAGTATGGAGACAAAACAGAGAGAGAGAGAGAAACAGCTCAAGAAGTGCTGGGCTAACGGTGTTGGCGCGGATGTGGAGAGAAAAGGACTCTCGTTCACTGCTGCTGGGAATGCCGACTGGAAATGCCCTCTTGGAAAACAGTATAGACCATTCTCAAAAAATTAGAAATTGAGCTTCCATTTGACCCAGCAATTCCACTCCTGGGATTATATCCCGGAGAGGCAAAAAAGAATAGTAGAAATGACATCTGCACTTCTATGTTCATTGCTACACTGTTTACAACAGTCAAAATCTGGAAAAATCCTAAGTGCGTGATAACAAATTACTGCCTAAAGAAACTTTGGTACATCTACACAATGGAGTCCTATGCAGCTGTTAGAAAAGATGAAGTCGTGAAATTTACATACAAGTGGAAAATATCATGCTAAGTGAAATGAGTCAGAAGGAGAGGGGCAGACATAGAAAGATTGTATTCATCTGTGGAATATAAAGTAACAAAATAGGAGACTAACACCCAAGAATAGCCGAGATAAGTACCAGGACGTTCACTCCATGGCTTGGAGGCCAGCCTCACGCGCTAGGAGAAAAGGCAGCTCCGATAGAGAAGGGAGCACCAAATAAAGGGTGTTGGGAGGATCCTCCCAGGATGGGAGATGCATGTTCTAAAGTAAACTATAGACAGAACATGATTGCCACTCAATGCCTCTTTTGCAAACCACAGCACCAAAAAGGAGAGAGAAAACAAAAGGGAATGCCCTGCCACAGAGGCGGGGTGGAATGGTGCAGTGGGTGTGGGGGGTGGGGGATCATTGGTGGTGGAGAATGGGCACTGGTGGAGAGATGGGTACTCAATCATTGTATAACTGAAACCCAAGCACAACAATTTGTAAGTCTACAACTGTACCTCATGGTGTTTCACTAATAAAAATTAAAAGTAAAATAAAAATAAAATAAAATAACAATGGTGAAAAAAAGAAGTGCTGGTCTGAGTTTGTGTGGCGGACGAACAGTGGAGTTGGAGCATATGGGTCAGTGAGGGACAGAGGCAGCTAGATGAACCAGCTTTGTGAGGGTCTAATGGGGGTGAGTGTTGGGGGACAAGGGACTGGTACTGTGATCTGAGGGTGTCACTGAATATGGAGCTGCTCTGGAAGCGATGGGGAAGGGTCCTGGTACTGACGCTGGATCCGGACCTGACTCTCATTAAGGCTCAGTGCTAACAGGTTGCAGAAAGTGTGACAAGCTTGATCAAAGTTGGTACAACGATACTTGCAGGGGGGTTGCAAATGGACCTGCCCTAAGACTTAGTGATGGCAGAACAGGGGCCCGAACTCCCTCCAACTACAGCACGGATCAGTTATTATTGTGTTTTGATTCTCGTGATGGACCATACTCCCTCCTCATCCCCTTTCCCCTTTCAGTCCTGAGCGCCCTCTGGTGGCCCTGGAGACTCCTGCAGACAAACATGTCTCAGCATGTTTGTGTCTGGGCTCACCCTGACTTCCCCTCACTGTGTCTCTCGCACAGTAATACACAGCTGTGTCCTCGGGGGTCATTGAGCTCAGCTTCAGGAAGAACTGATTCTTGTTCGTGTCCCTGGTGATGGAGATGCGGCTCGTGAAGGATGGACTGTAGTTGGTGTTTCCATTATAACAGATGCGCCCCAACCAGAGCAGGCCCTTCCCTGGGGGCTGGCGGATCCAGTGCCAGCAGTAATTGCTGGTTGTGATGGAGAATCCGGAGACAGAGCAGGTGAGGGAGAGGGTCTGGGAGGGGGCCACCAGGCCTGGGCCCGACTCCTGCAGGGTCAGAGCAGACACAGCACCTGGGGACAAGGAGAATCAGTCACTGTCAGTCCCTGCAGTCACTCCCTCCCCTAGACCCTGTCACGTCTGGGACACTCACCCAGAGGGGCTGTCCCCAGGCAGAGGAGAAGACCCCACAGAATCATCTTCTCGACCACAGCTTTGCCTTCCCCAGAGACTCAGCCCTGAGTGAGGAGACAGCTGTGAGCTCCACAGCCCAGACAGCATTTGAACCCAGAGCCTGAGAGGGATTTGCATGAGGCGACCAAGTCTGTTATAAGGGGAAGCTTTTTTGCTTTGAATCTCATTGTCCCATTGGGGTGCTGAACTCACACACCCTGTGTGATGGATTGAGAATTCAGTCCATGGGGCACCTTGAAAGAGGTTATGTGAGGGTCCTGACTCAGTCTACATAATAATCAGTGTCAGTGACATTGACAACATTACAACTCCTTCCATGTGACTGTCTTGAAATATATAATGAAAGTTGTTACATTTTTACCTTTTTAATAATCAAAGAAACTTTAATACTAACCCTCTTTTACAATGCTGTAACTGATTTCATTTAATCTATGATTCATTTGAAATATTTTCAGTATCTCTGTCTATATGTATGTATCTTTCTTTCATTGTATGAATTCGTTTTTTGCTTCCCAAAGTTCCTTGACCTTACATTAATCAAGATTTTTGCAATGTTCTCTTCAAATAGATATTCACTTGAGAGTCTATGCTATGTTTTCATGACCCAGTTTTAGCAAGAAACCTCAAACACATAATGAAATTTCTCTCCCTGGACATCTGGACAGCCTCTAGATCCGATTACACCCGTGGTTCCCTCCATTCCCCAGGTCGTGTCTGCTTGTCCTCCCCTCAGCAAGAAGCCTTAAGTCAGCCCCTCAGGATCACCTCAGCCTGGACGCTCCTGTTCTCTGAGCCTGCTCATCCCTTAACCACAGATCACTGTACACATATGCAGTGTTTGTGGTTAATTCAGATTTTCAAGGATGCATAACTTTTACAACAAGGAGTTTGTTCTTTTGTAATGTGAGTAATGTTTGAAGCATTAGCCTCAGTCTCCCAGTCAAGGGCACTGGCATTTCTGCCTCAGTGGCACTCATTTCTCACCTGACAGTCTCCTAATCTGACTCACAAAGCTTGGAAACGGATGCGCTAGCCAGTCCCCCTGCACTACGCACGTGGACATTGAAAACAGGGACATTGAGGATGCACAACATGAAGCGGGTCAAAATTTCAGTCCAAATCGACCCCCATACCTTTTTATTGCTGGAGGAAATCTGAATCAAGAGGGTAGAAATCATGTGTCTCAACTCACCCCGGAATATACTCTTGTTAGCAGCACAACATGCTGGGCACAATCACAAAGAAAAAGTCACTTTAATATTGGGTGAAAATAAGTTCTAGAGAGTCTGTGAATTCCTAACTATGAAACTTAACATGAGGCCCTTTGAACAATCCTCACAAGACACTAAACTCATGTCTGTACCATGTCTGCTGTACAACTCTCAGCCTCTCTGTGCAAACACAGCCCTGTGGCGTGGTTCCTCCTTTCACAAGTATAGCAGCAAAACAGAACTGACCCAACTCAAGAATCCCACAGCCTTCCCTGGAGGTGCTCCGTGTTGAATTATTTCAGGTTCAATTTTAAGATGAGCCTCAAGCACCTGTATGTGTCTCCCAGAACCACAAAATACATGATCGTGTAGTGACGTCTGTGTGATCCTGTCACTGCAGCACTAAGTGTTGTAGAAAGATGTGCATAAGCCCCAATGTTGACTCTTTTTGCTTCTCTGTTCAGCCATGGAGTCCATTCTTTACCTCCTTAATTTCTGTTTTAAGCACATTTTTATAATTATTTCCTTCAATCATTATAGATATTTGAAACTTCACTGCTGTTTTCAGTTCAGTGATCATTGAGTGGATTGGTGCTCTGAGGTGATTCTCAGAAAGTATCGAATGTTCTGATGTACTTGAGGTCTTTCCCAGACTTTTGTCCCTATTTATTAAAGCCATTATAATTCTTTTCTCTTTCACTATTCCTTGTGCGTTGGCAGCTCCTTGTGTAACTCTAAGTGGTCTGTGTGGAGATCTGGAGATTGTGCTCACACTGGTAGGCTACTGCTGTGATGGATCCATTTTAGGAAACCATTGTTTTTTAAATCTAATTTTATTTTTACATAATTGTTCATAGTGATTCATTACATTCAATATTACAACACGAATCCCACCACCATTACAACTTCTCACCATTATTTCCTATTTTCCCAACCACCACCAAAGCCTCCCCGAAGAGCAGGCCTGAAATGATTTATTTTGTATTACTTGTTAAGATTAATTCACCAAAAATTATCAAAAAAGATTTTATTAGACGAAAGTGTATGAAGATTGTTGTGTCCCACCCTGGAGCCATTAAGCGCTCATATACGAGATTACTCACCTATGTTACAGGTTAAGACTAGTGTTTTATTATTTTCTTCATCGAGATGGGTTGCCTTCTACATTACATTCCGTCCAAAGTGGCGTGCTAGTCATGGTATATCGTGATACAGAATAAGAGATGTCACACCAGGAATTTAAAATGTTTGTGGGGTGATGCAACTCAGGTTAAATTTTAACCTGAGGCTGTTTAATTTCTTGGTAAACTTGGTCCCAAGTTGTTGTGGTTCGGCCAAAGGCACAGCTGCAATTTTGGGGTGTCAGGAAGCCTGGCTGGTGACTTTGGAGTTCAGAAGCATGTCTACAGCTCAGTGATCTCTTTTGAAATTTCTTTATGTTAGATCATTTATTATCCAATGCTCATTTTGAATATTGTGGGTGAGCAGTCACACACTTCTGGAATCCTAGATTGTAAATGGTTGCGTTGCAGAGACATTTTTGTAGGCACTAATTGATTTGGAGATTCAGTTGGGCATCTGTAGACCAGGGCTGTTGGTGCGCTAAGATGGTGCCTGGAGGCACATTGTGGAGGCGATGGCCAGGTCGACAAGCAGCCAGGGAGCTGGGGAGGGACAGCCCGGTGCCTCTTCTGCCATGCAGCAAGGAGATTTAGTCCTGGAACCCTCATACCTGGGCCTTGCTTGTGGAAGCTCTTTGTCACCAGGTTCCATCTGGAGTAGGCGGGGAGACTGCACCTGCTCCATCTGGGGTGTCCCTGTGAAATGGACTCAACATGGGGCCTGGAGATATCTCTGGATCTGGGGTGGCTTACAGGACTCACTGCTGTATCTCTGGGTTTTGATCTCTTTCAGGATTTATTTATGGGTCCCTGAAACAAGGTCAGTAATAGAGTTCACAGGGTGGTGCTGGCATTGCTTTGGGGGAGTGACTGCCACTGCTTCCGGGTGTATTGGGAAGAGGGTGGAGGTAGCCCAAGATAACTCTGCGAAAGCCTGGAGATTTCAGTCACAAAATCCGCATACCCGAATTTTCAGCACACAGTACCTTAGTGAGGTCCGTCCTGAGACAGTGGAGTCAAGCCGGGGATTTGGCAGCGATTTTGGACTGTATAAGTATGCGGGTGCTGGGGGATCTGCCTGGGTAGCACAGGTCAACCTGCCCCGCTCTGATTTACCCCAGTGTGTTCAGCCATATGCGGGTCAGAGATTAACTGTAGCTTTTGTTCTCTTTCCAGATTTATTTACAGGCCTCTAAAATAAGACCAATAAATGAGCTTCTATAGCTGAGCCAGAGGTCTTTTGTGGGTGTGGCTCCCAACTCTCTCCCCCATACATAACTTTTGGCTGTTTAATTTCTTGGTAAACTTGGTCTCAAGTTGTTGTGGTCCGGCCAAAGGCACAGCTGCAATTTTGGGGTGTCAGGAAGCCTGAAGGGACCATCAGGCTGCTGATGCACTCACCCCACAGGTACAGGTTGACCTGATGGCGGCACCATACCCTATGCAGTGCTTTCTGTTTGTAGAAGTGTATGTAGGGTGCGATGACGGACACTCATTCTCAATAGCCTTCCACTCTATGGATATATTATGGGTTTTTACTCATTACTAAAGGCGTCTTGGGTTACTCTCAGTCCTGGACCTTTAAAATAGATCACAAGCACTTCCTAGGAGGAGGGACAAAAATGAGGAAAAGCTGTTCTATATCTTACATGAATATCAAGGAGAAAGTTATACAAATAATAATAATTAAAAAAAACAGGAAAATATCTATACATACTCACCCTGGCAGGCGTTGGAGTCCTGGAGGCCTGGTGGGGTGAGTGTGGGGGACAGGGAGGACAGATCACAGGGAGGGGTTTGGAGGTTTGAGGGTGTGACAGAGAGTGGAGCTGCTCTGGGAGCGACAGGGAAGGGTCCATGGAAAGCCGCTGGAACTGGGCATGGATGGGCTTAGGTGGGGGTGATTGGGGCTGAGTGTATCTTTGTTGTAACAGAATATTGGTCCGTGTGGGCTTCTTGCACATGGTGACCCTCTTTGCCCCTGGTGGGACTGAGGCCTTTCTCAAGTGGCTCTCGAGTGTTCTCTGCTGGTCGGTAGCATCCCTGCAGCCCTGCCTGTGGTCTGGGGAGTCCTTCAGAGTCCCCCGATTCCCAATGTGAATAGAGGAATGCGTCCTGATCACCCAGAGGGACAGGAAGTGTGAGCACTGGGAAATGAGTCCAGCCTGATTCACAGCAGTTTCCCCAGAGAGGTGTGTTCAGAGACAGTCCATGGAGAAGGGAATACTTCCTGCCCCCACGTGGAGGTCACTCATGCCTGAGTCACATCACAGCTCACAGAGACATTAGAGTAAGTCTGGATTACAGAAATGGAATCTGTGCAAAAGGAGAACAAAAGGCCACATTACAAAGAGATTGAAAAATTAAGAAGAAAAAAAATTAACTGATAAAAATCAATGTCATTGTCACTAAATTTCAATAGACATTTGATTCATAGACGAGTTGAATTTCCAAATCAATATCCTGGAATATAGGCTGGGTATTTGACATCTTGTGAAAATTTGAATAATAAATGTTGTGAACAGAAATACAGCTTCCTCACAAAAATTTGTAAATCTACAACTGTACCTCATGGTGTTTCACTGATGAAAATCTAAAAAACAAAGAAAAGAAAAGAAAAGAAAAGAAAAGAAATACAGGTCCCTGCAGTGTCTTTGAGTTCAGAGACTCTGAATATTATCTGAACATTTTTTACTCAAGGAAATAGATTATTTTTTTAACTGTGTCATATCCATGCCTATCAGATTTCAAGTGGACTAAAATCAGATGCAGGAGGGAAAGGTAAAGGTAAAGGTAAAGGCCCTCCCGTTGATCGTCGATTTGCTCGAGCGGGCCCAGTAACGTCTCCATTGGAGACTTTGTTGTTACTGTGTCTGGCATATCGAATACTCTCGGTAGCTTGCCGGGCAGGAGGAATGAACATTATTCCTGTCTCCTCTTGTGCACCTCAACTCATCTACCCTCTGTCTGGGGGACATAACCTGGGGGCCCTGGGTCTCAGGGTGTAGAATGAGAAGAAATTGAACCCCCTGATTTCCTAGTTTCCAGCATGCACAGGGCACAGAAAGAGAGTAATTAATCATTATTGAAGCATGTTTTTCAGATGATATTTTGTTGGCAATCAATGAGAATTCTAGCTACAGGATCAGTGTTTTAATTTGATCCAGTTCAATTTTGAAAGGCTGGGGCGATAACACAGCAGTAGGGTGTTTGCCTTGCACACAGCCAGCCTGGCTGAGCTGGGTTCGATTCCTCTGCCCTTCTCCAAGAGCCCGGCAAGCTACCGAGAGTATCTCGACCGCACGGCAAAGCCTGGCAAGCTACTCGTATTCAATATTCAAACAAAGTAACAACAAGTCTCAAAATGGAGACGTTACTGGGACCACTCGAGCAAATGGATGAACTATGGGAGCACAGTGAAACAGTGACACAGTTGTGAAACCCACAGCATCTTCCTGTCCTTAGACACTAGTGAGTGACAGGGACCCTTCCTGAAGGCCCTGCAGGAGAGTGGCCAGGAGTGAGCTGAGGGGTGTGGGCTGGAACTTCCCCCTGAGTCCTCCTGCAGCCCCTACTTTAGCCCTGCACAGAGGGACACAGCAGAGTGAGGAAGAAGAGGAGGCTCAGGGGTCACAGGTGGTTCTTCAGGTGACAATGCACCCTGACATGCGACTGAGCTGAGCCCATCTCTGGGCGTCCCTGAGCACGGGAGTGAGACTCTCTGGGGAGCAGACAAGAGAGGAGTGTGCATGATCACTGTGGGGAGGGTCAGAGACCTTCACCCCCATATGCCTGGGCGGGAACAGGGGGTAAAGTAAATGTGAGATCCTGGAGGAAGCTGGTACAGAGATCCTTGTGGGAGATTTGAGAATGGACCCCTCCTAAGTGTGAGTGATGGCAGGACAGGGACCCCTGTGGGACCCCCAGGTCATTCTGAGTATAGTGTGGGTTAGTTACTGTGCTGTTAGGATTCCCTTTGTGGATCTGACTCCTTCCTGGTTCCTGTGCCCCTTTCACTCCTGAGCGCCTTCTGGTGGCCCTGGAGAGCCCTGCAGCCCAGCCTGTCTCAGCAGATTTGTGTCTGGGCTCCCCTTGACTTCCCCTCACTGTGTGTCTCGCACAGTGATACACTGCTGTGTCTGCGGGGGTCACTGAGCTCAGCTGCAGGTAGAACTTGTTCTTGTTCTCGTCTGTGGTGATGGAGATGCGGCTCTTGAGGGATGGGCTGTAGTAGGTGTTTCCATCCCAACATATACGCCCCAACCAGAGCAGACCCTTCCCTGGGGGCTGGCGAATCCAGCCCCAGCAGTAACCACTAGTTGTGATGGAGAATCCGGAGACAGTGCAGGTGAGCGAGAGTGTCTGGGAGGGGGCCACTAGTCCTAGGCCCGACTCTTGCAGCTGCATCTGGGACAGGACACCTGGGAACAAGGAGAATCAGTATCTGTGACTCCCTGCAGCCACTCTCTCCCCTAGACCCTGTCACATCTGGGACACTCACCCAGGGGGGCTGTCACCAGGCAGAGGAGAAGACCCCGCAGAATCATCTTCTTCTCTACCACAGCTCTGCCTTCCCCAGAGACTCAGCCCTGAGTGAGGAGACAGCTGTGAGCTCCACAGCACAGAGGGTATTTGACCCCGGAGCCTGAGAGGGATTTGCATGAGGTGACCCAGTCTGTTATAAGGGGCAACTTTCAGACCTTGGACCTTCTTGTCCCATTGGAGCGCTGAACTCACACAACCTGTCTGGTTGATTCAGCACTTGCCAATGAAGTACATTGAAACAGGTCATAGAAGGCTCCTCACTTGTTTTAATAATCTGTCTTAGTCAAGTTAAAATTATTATAATCATTTCAATTTCAAGTTTCTAATGAACATAGTTTGCATTGCTTATGTTTAAAAAACCTTTTTAAGATATCCATCATTTAGATGCTCATAATTATAATCATACTTAAACTAGTTTCACATCCGTCTCTCTCTAAAATAATATCCAAACAAAAACTGCCCTTCCCAGTATTCATTCCTTTCATAAAGTATGACATAGTTGTATATGATAACTGTTTAAAAATCACTTAACTTCCCGTTAGTCATCGATTTGCTCGAGCGGGCGACAGTAATGTTTAATTTTGTCGCTGTCGCGTGCTAGTGTAGCCCAATGGCATCTGTTTGCTCTGGGAACATAAAGAGCCTTAAATCAATCGTTCATGATCTTGATGAAGAAGTCTGAGCATCTGGTAGATGGGCGGCCACGCGGTCTTTTGACATCCCGTGGAATCCAGTCTGTAACAGCTCTAGTCCAGCGGTTGTCTTTAAATCTCATAACATGTCCACCCCATCTGATTTTTGACACCTTGGCAAACGGGACAGCGTCCCTGATTCTTGATCATCGACGGATGTCGGAACTCCGGATTCTTTCTCTCATTTGAGTGAAACGTGATATTCCAAGCATAGCTCTTTCAATTCTTCTTTGGGAGACCTGAATAGCGTTCTCATCCTGTTTGCATAGGGCCCAGGCCTCTGAGGCATATGTTAATGCAGGAAGAACAGTGGAATCAAAGAGATGTGCCTGGAGCCGGAGGTTCTTTGTCCTCTTAGCTATTATTTTGATGTTCTTGAACTCGTTCCAAGCAGCTCTCTTCCTCCTGCGCAGCTTGGGTGCCAGGTCATATGTCATGTTGACTTCTCGACCTAGGTACACATAGCTGTTGCATTCGGAGATGGTTGTTCCGTTGAGAGCGAATGGGACATCAGGAACGAGGTTGTTTGTCATAAACATTGTCTTTGTAAGATTCAGCTGTAGTCCTACCTTTCCACACTCACGGTCAAAGTCGGCCAGCATTTGTGCCGCTTGGCTGATGTGTGGTGTTATTAAAACAATGTCATCAGCAAAGCGGAGGTGGTGTAGCTGCCGACCATCTATCTTCACTCCCATTCCTTCCCATTCCAGTCCTCGCATGATGTTCTCGAGGGTGGCACTGAAGAGTTTCGGTGAAATGGTATCACCCTGCTGAACCCCTCTCTTGACATCAACGACCAATTCTTTGTAGAATGGTGAGATCCTGGTAGTGAATCCGCAATACAGCTCATGGAGGATCCTGATGTATTGGGCTTGAATGCCCTGATTGGCTAGGGCTTCAATGACCGCTTCCATCTCAACAGAATCAAAGGCCTTCTTTAAATCAATGAACGTTAAACAGAGCGGCATCTTGAACTCCTGAGAAACCTCAATGAGCTTGGTTATCGTGTGGATATGGTCGATGGTGCTGAATCCTTTGCGGAACCCGGCTTGCTCGCATGGTTGTCCTTCATCTAGTGTTCTGCCAATCCTATTTAGGATGACTCGAGTGAACAACTTGTAGATGACAGATAATAGGCAGATCGGGTGATAGTTGCCAATGTCATGGATGTCTCCCTTCTTGAACAGAACAGAGATAGCCACAAAAAAAACGCCTGTCAGAACTGTTTACAAAGTACATAGTTAATAAAAAATTTCTGTTTGAGTTTTATTTTTTGGGGGGGGCACATTCAGTGATGCTTGGTGGTAACCCCTAGCTTTGCACTCAAGAATTACTCCTGGCAATGGCTGTTTCATTCTGGGCAACCCGGAGCGGGGCTGGGTGAGGCCCCTTTAGCCCCAACCGAGGCAGCCCCAGCAGCCAAAAACCTCCAGAACTCAACCGCCACCATGCTCAAGGGCGCTCTCCACATGCTTGGAAGGGCCTCACTCAAGAGCCAAACTATCCCTGGACTTGTCACACTTTACCCCACCAGTATACCAAGAATAGCACACCTCATTTAATGGGGTTTTTAGTAGAAGGCAACTGATCTTAGTGCTATATATATATATATATATATATTATATATACATATAATATATATATATATATATAGACAAAACTCAACCTTTAACAACATGTTACAAATCTCGTTTAAAAGGGCTTAATGGCTCCTTGGTGAAATATAGCAATCTTCACACCCTTTCCTCTAAGGAATATTTCTGTCTCATTTTTAGTGGATTATTATGAACAAGCAATACAAAATAAATTATTTTGGTTCATCTTGTTTGAATGTAATCAAATATAATCAAATATTGTGAACTATTTTATAAAAATAAAATAAAATTTTTAAAAAATAATTACTCCTGTTAGTGCTCGGGAGAACCATATGGGATGGTGAGGATAACTCCTATTGGCAAGGGCAAGAAAAGTAAATTGCATTGTACTATCACTCTGGCTCTCTGATTTTTGCATTTTGGAGTTCGGGGTCTACTGTGCATTCTCACGGGGGAGACAATTGTTATAGGCTACATTTAAACTATTCCATGTGCTTCTTTTAAATTTTTCATGGACTCCATAGAAAGTTAGAAAAAAACTTTCAAAAATTCATCCACAACTTCCCCGTCTCAATGTTTCCACTGAGGTCACTCTGCTTCTGTCCATATCTGCACATCTTTCATCTCTATCAGAGCTTGGGTGTCCCTGCTCAGGGATCCTGCTGTTCCCACCCTTGTCACCCTACACCAGTGTCACAGTCGGTTCTGTTGCCCCATCAGGTGCCTCCACAAGTGGGTTACATTCAATGACACTTAAGTGGAATAAGTGTCCTGGGAGGAGTGGATTTCTGGAAATGACTGAAGGGCGTCTGACAGACCCTTTCCCCAAAAACCCTTGTCACTGAAGATCTGTCAGAAGCTCAGTCTGAACTGACTGTTCATACTCAGTCACTGATGGAAACTCTGTCCTCTTTGTCTGTCTGTCTGACTGTCTCCTTTCTTACTTTAAACACTGTAATGTAGACAGATCTTCACAATACAGTTGTTTCAGGTATTCAGCATACCAACACCTGTCCCACCATCAATGTGCTCTTCCCTCCACCAATGTCCCCAGTTCCCCACCCTCCAAGCAATCTCCCTGAGCAGGCATTAATTAATTGACTTTACACTGTTTGTTATAGCATCCGTCTTCTAATGGTGCTGCTAAAGTCCCAGCCTGAAGATTTCCTGAACTGTTACGTGCACTTGGGCCTTCTGTGGTAGTGTTTCACTCGTGAGCCCAGTAGGTTTCCAATCAATGTTCCCATCTAATTTCTGTATTTCTTCTGGCTGGCAGCCCCGTTGCACATTTGCATAGGTGGCATCAGGCTTCAGGCTTTGAGATGGGACGCTGAAGTGCAGGTGATTCTCTGGCCTCTCTGAGATCAATTCTGTAGACGAGCAGTTCAGTGGTTGTGGCGAGAGCCAGAAGTGCGTGTGTTGAGTGTTGGGCCTTGGGCAGAGCAGGGACTCGGTCTGTTTCCATACCACCCAGGGTCAAGAGATCTTGGCCCGCGGGCAGTTGGGCTTCCTAGGATACGTCACTTGCCAATGTCTCTCCAAAACTCTGTCCCCTCAAGCAGAAGGGGGTGTGAGACTCTGGTGTTGGGAAGGGAAAACTGGCTTGTGGCATGTGCTTGACAGGGCTGACCCTCCACCTGTTCCCCCGTCTCCTTGGTCAGCTGCATGCAAGGCAAATGCTCTATCCACATTCCTTCGCTGCAGCCCTAGATTATTCATTCTTTATTTTTTATTTATTTATTTATTTTTTTGCTTTTTTGAGTCACACCTGGTGATGTCTGGGGTTTCTCCTGGAGTCGCTCTCTGCAGTGCTGGGGAGGTCATGGCATATGCTGGAAACCAGTGCTGGGCTTCCTGTGCGATGGTCCTTTGAGCTGTCTCCCAGGCAGTGCGACCATTTTTCTTCTGGCTACTGCCAGCTGTGTGCAGGGCTGATTCCTGGCTCTGCTCTCTTTGTTGTTGGTTTTGTTTTTTGGGGACACACCCAGGAGTGCTCAGGAGTTATTCCTGGCTCCGCACTCAGAAATTACTCCTGGTGGTGCTCAGGGGAAGCCAGGAATCAAACCCCAGGTCAGTCACATGCAAGTCAAATGCCCTACCCACTGTACTATCTCTCTGGCACCTTGGGTAACTTTTGGAGGTGTTGGGGAACTGGAGGTGGTGCTGGGTATCCAACCTGGGTCAGTTGCATTCAAGGCAAGTGACTTCCCCGCTGTACTCTCTTCCTGGTCCTAGACCCATATTATTATTATTATTATTATTATTATTATTATTATCATTATTATTATTACTATCACTACTACTACTCGATTCCTCTGCTCCTCTCAGAGAGTTTGGCAAGTTACCGAGAGTATCTCACCCACACAGCAAAGCCTGGCAAGCTCCCCATTACGTATTCGATATACCAAAAACAGTAAGAACAAGTCCCACAATGGAGACGTTACTGGTGCCCACAAGAGCAAATCAATGAAAAACGGGAGGACAGTGCTACAGTGCTAGAGAATAAGTGACTCCTACTAGGACACCATAATAATCTCTACAAGGTAATTTTAATTTCTACCAGAGAATAATGTAGGATCTTACCTAGGCCCCAGGGAAGTCATGGTCCCATTAGTAAAAACCACCATCATGAGGCAGAGAGTGAAACAAACTCCTTCCTGCCCACAGTGGGGATGGAGGACTCAGAGCCACAACCCACAGGACAAGGTGCCCTTGGGGTCATCTGAGAGCTGAGGGGCAGGTCAGGCCTGATCTCCACAGAA